GCTCATTTCTCCATATAACGGTACATGTGAACTGTCAGAGCGTTTTGCTTGCCCGCGTAAATGTGTAGTGAGCCGCGGCTGACGTCAGAAAAACGCTGATTTCTCCGTTCCAATTTCTGACTTAGTAGTCGATGTATAAATAGATATTTCTCTGTGATTACAACTCGGAATAATTTAATTTTACACTCGTTTTAATGGTAACATAACATATCGCTGTAAAAAAGCGCGTCAGTGATTGTTATTAAGTGCCGTATTTTATGAGTTATGTCTCTTTACTCGCAAACATTTTAAATTTAAACGTTCGACTTGAATTTTAGGCAGTTTTTTTAATTTTTTCTCGGTAAATATGAAAATTAGAGAAAAATCCTGGTGCGCTATTTTGGTACATATTGTGCTTAACATGTGGCGAAAATTTTGTATCCTCACTCTTTCTGGTAATTGAGAAATATCCAAAATATCATTTTTACATAAAAATTCAAAATTTTTGTGGTAACATAATTAGGTGCTGGAAATTTCATGAAATTCTTTGCCTTCAGCATAGAGATATATCTCCTCTATAAATAAAACAAGTAATTGATTCGATTCATTCGTCAATAAACGTTTAATCTTCATTAGAGCAATTCCCGTACAAAAGGTTGAGAGTATGCGCGTGGATACGTGATCCATTCGTGTACACCACTTGGGAGTTAATTATGTCGCTATCACTCCATACTAATTTTTTTGGCTGCTACACAGGTGGATCGACATTGCTGCAGGGTGTAGGTTAATTACACTAGATAAATTCCGGCATGGGAGAGTTGTCACGGCGTTGACAGTCATAGAGGTAACGGTGCACATGGAGCGTCACTAGAGATTTCGTTACCAGAGTAATTACTACAAGAGAATGCGCGTCACCAGAGACAGTGTGACTAGAAATTACGCGACTAATTAAAATGCGTGTGCGTGTGGAAAACTGTCGTGTGATGTGCACCGTGAGATACAGTACGATAACAGTAGGATAACAGTAAGATGTGCACGGGATGTCAACGAACTGAGTAAGATGTGCACGGGGTGTCCACGCGGCCACAGCCAGCGTTGCGAGGTAATGGCGTAGGCATAGGGAGGAAGAGGAAAAAAGACAGGCAGACGGGAAGCGAAGAAGAAAGAAGACAGGCCGACAGGAAGCGAGGCAAGGCGGCGGAAGCTGATAGTATGTATGCTGGCAAGGTTATAATTCATTTGTGAAGGTTAGGGAAGAGGAAGTGGAGATATATTTCCTGTCGTTCGAGACGGTAGCAAATCGCCTTCAGTGGCCCCGCGTGTATTGGACTATGCTGTTACAAACCGGATTTGTAGGGAAAGCGCAGGAGGTGTTCTCGCTGCTGTCAGATCAACAGTCAGAGGATTATGATACAGTTAAGGGGGGCCGTGTTGACGGCTTATAAGTTGGTTCCGGAGGCTTATAGGCAGCAGTTTAAGAACTTGAACAGAACGTGCGAGCAATCCTTCATTGAGTTGGCCAGAAAGAAAGAGATGTGTTTCGATAGGTGGTATCGTTCTCTGCAAATCGCTAAGGAGTATGATATCCTGAGAGAAGTTATCCTAATGAAAGAGTTTAAAGACAGCATCCCTCTTGATATTAGGACTCATTTAGAGGAACACAAAATTGGAGAGTTGGGAAGAGCCGCTGTTATCGCTGACGACTACGTGCTGACACACAAGAGGGGCCTTGCGGGGGCTCGGGGTTATAGTAGTAGGTGGACAGGTCAGCGATCCGAGACCGGCCTAAAGGCAGAGGAGAAAACGAGGTTCTGTGGTAGGGATAGTAGTGGCCAACCCGGGCAACGGGCTTCAGTTAGACAGCCAGATGGGGTCCAGAAGAGGTTTGGGTTTAGTAGAGGGGTGACGTGTTATTATTGTAACGGTAAAGGGCATCTCAAGTCCGAGTGCTGGAAGTTGCAGAGGGACGAGAAGCGAAAAAGCTACGGGAGGCCTGTTGCACTGGTCAACACAGTGGTTGATTCCCCTGGTGGCACGAAGGAGGTAGAGCCTAGTTCTGTGGTGTCTGTTAAGGCAAAAGAGGGGGCGGATGGCGGGAGCCCTATGTTGGACAGCTATAGGAATTTTGTTTTAAGGGGTGAAGTTTCGTCCGTGTTAGGTGATAGGGAAACTAAGTCCGTAGTTATCCTACGAGATACGGGGGTGGCCCAGTCACTGATGTTGCTTGAGAAGGTGCCGGGAACTCCAAGCAAGATGAATACTAGTGTGTTAGTACATGGAATACAAAGTAGTTATACCCCTGTACCCTTGTGTAGGGTGGATCTGAAATCGGGATTAGTCTCGGGTAAGGTGACCGTGGGAGTTGTTCCCTCTCTCCCGATAGAGGGGGTGAGTTTTCTCTTGGGTAATGACTAGAGCGGGCGATAGGGTCAGCTAGTACCTCTCCTATTGCTTCGGATGAGCCGGTGGAACAACCGGAAACGGAGAGGTTGCGGGAAGAATTCCCAGGCATATTCCCAGCTTGTGTAGTGACTAGATCACAGAGGTGTGGGCGAAGCAAGAAGAGGGAAAAACGGAGGAACGGAATGAAGCGGAGGAGTCTGAGGTATGGTTAGTGGAAACGATTTTCCCACAGTTAGGCGGTGACAGGAAGGGTGGAAAGGGGTGCCCTAAAAAGGTAGAGTTTACTCGCGCCTCTCTTCTTTCGTACCATATGCTCGTGTTCTGGATCACGCAGTTGCTACTTCACGTAGTTAGCTTGTAGGTGCGTGCCACATGTCAACTTTCACAGTACTGCATGGCACATGCACCTATTAGCAACTAGGTTGACAAAACTCGTTTCGGTCTCGTTTAACCTTGGTTGAAAAAATGCATTGAGATGATTGGAAGAAGAGCGGAGAGAGAGAGAGAGAGAGAGAGAGAGGAGAAATACCCTACATGCTATACGAACACAACATTCATGGATTGGTGCATGCTCAGAGATCGATATAGCTCTAGGTATAGATGATAATCAACCAGTAGGAACTAGACAGATAAACACATTCTTTAACTTGAGCGCGTGGATACGTGATCCATTCGTGTACACCACTTGGCAGTTAATTATGTCGCTATTACTCCACACTAATTTTTTTGGCAGCTACACAGGTGGATCGACATTGCTGCAGGGTGTAGGTTTATTACACTAGATAAATTCCGGCATGTGAGAGTTGTCACGGCGTTGACAGTCATAGAGGTAACGTTGCACATGGAGCGTCACCAGAGATTTCGTCACCAGAGTAATTACTACAAGAGAATGCGCGTCACCAGAGACATGCAGTGTGACTAGAAATTACGCGAATAATTAAAAAGACGTCGCGAAAGCTCACACGACCAGATGCGAGATTTAACAAAGAATGGGTCACCACGCTTTTCACACCAAGTTTTTATTGTATAGAAGAACAATGCAAGTGTTAGAGACGATATAGGAATACATGTAAACTGACATTCAAACGCTGCAAACGCTACGCTCCGTTCATAGGCTACGCTCCCGCGAAATGAATACGGATTAAGCTAGGTGATCACAGGTGCTTAGCTGAACACCGAAATGTTGGTGAAGTGAATATATAAGTATGGATTCTCAAGATCTTCGGCTCACAGTCGCATGTTGAACCCTGCGTTGTGTCAGTTATCGTCCTCGTGAACGGAGTTGCCAGCGTGAAATTTATAGACGCCGCTGTGCGTATGTTGCTCGCACTCTACCAAAACCACTGCATGATCATTGCTCTTGATTTTGCGTAGATATAGTAACACGCACAAGATGACAACACACACCATGCAGCTGCAGCCCATGAAGTAGAAGGACAGTGCTGTGTCTTTGGTTATGTCAAGCAGCCCACCTGTGAGATAAAAAACATACTTCTATTATAGACGGAAACATTACTGCTCCAGATCTCAGCCTTTATGAATTCACGTCCTTTGCTGACTCGCCTGTGTATCAAGCCCTACGGCGTTTGTGTAATTTTATCCGACACGTTAGTCTTCATGCACTGCCTACTTATGTCTAATATAGTTGATCATTTCTTAGAAAATGTAAAATTAAACAATAGAATAAAAGAAGAAAATATAATTTTTTTAAGTTACAATTATTCCTGCAATTTTTCATTCATTTATTAAACGTGAATCATATTTTGTACGAAAAAATAAATTCAAAGCGAATTCACGCAGCAAGTCATGGCATTTTAGCAAACGTGTAGCGCAACTAAAATTGTAACTATGCATACATATAATATATTCATCAGACTAATCTTACCTGTAATCAGTGGTCCAATGATACCTGATAAGCCACTAGCAAAGAGTCTTAGTGCCAGTGCATCCTTATACAAATCTACACCAGACAGGTCTAGCAGAACGATGAAAGACGTTACCATGTATCCGGCGGTGGCAACTCCCAAGATGGCGCTGTTGATGACCAGAAGCTTGTAATTCGACATGAAGGGATTTAGCAGTACAAGCACTCCCATGACGAATACAAACACTGTTATACCCACCAGCCTGCGACTGGGTTGGCGCAAGAAGCTGATGTCCCACATGGAGCTCAATGGAAGCCGGAAGATTGTCTCAGAGAGACCAATGATGGCCACCAGTGTAGCCGCACTGAAGCCATCACCGTCTGCTATCTCCTCTCCCCGTGTGGGCAGCAGAATGAAAATAGACTGATATGCAATTTGTACGAAAAATACTATCACGCAAAAGAGTATGGTGCTAGTATCTGTGAGGATGCGTTTGTCCAGAATGGGTTTGTTCAGGATGGAGTTACGTGGTTTCTTCGTCACAGTACCAGGCACCGCTTGTGTGACAGCTCCTTTACTGATTTCCACATCGCTTATCTTTATTTCAACATCGCTTGAATCAAGAGATGTTTTTGGATTTAGATTCCTAAATAAACCTGCAGCTACGAGCAGGTTGAATGTTATAGCACCGCAGATAAGGAAGGCCTCTTGGTAAGAGAATTCTTCGAGAAGGTACTCCAGAATTAACGGCCAAATGAACGTTCCTACTCCTGTTCCCAGGAGACAAAAGCCCAGCGCTATTGACGACTTCCTATCAAAATGTTCAGCCGTTGATGACATCGATGGAATCACGACCAAAGATGACCCTAGTCCTGAAATGAAAAGAGTAGACAGATTAGAATGACATCACAGATGGACCAATAGAATATAATTAACTAGTTAGCAATGGAAATAAATAATATAGAAAGAGATAACTAGATAAACCAGAATTATGTAATAATGCGAATTAATTCGTTTTGCACTAAACTGAAAGATTATTGGTAGACATGGTAATTAATACACAACACGTCAAGTTTGTATGAAGTTTAACACTAGCAGTAAATTATTACCAAACATCAGCCCATAAGTGACGTAGAGAAACGGCAGTCCCGTTGCGAAGTAGGATAGTGACATTCCTACTCCAGCGATGATTGCACCGGGTATAGCAACAGTCCTGTAGGAGTATCTGTGACAAAGAGCCGTCGCCAACGGTGCTGCCGATAGAAAATATCATAGTCATTCACATACTAACCGTAGTAATCATGACTATTGGCTTTATTGGTATGAATGAAGAGATGGTGGTCAAGTACGACCTCGGTCAGTGGCAACTATATATAAATTACTTTTGACAAAGAGATTTATTAAGAGCAACTTGCTAAGCGAGGTGAGAGACTTTTAAAAGCATTTAGGGAGGCGAAAGGCGTTTCCTACTACCACATAGCTACAGAGGGTTCTTGTGCAAGGCATAGAGAGCCCCGCAGTTCACTCCATCATCACTACGAGGGTTGCAGCATGTCACACAGAGTATATAAGCGTAATTACGAGCTCAGTTTACACACTCACCCCGCCACATGCACGCACACACGCACACACGCATGTACACGCACACACGCATGTACACGCACACACGCATGTACACGCACACACGCATGCACACGCACACACATCTACAACAGTATATGTCGTGTGTACGAATACGTAGGAAGCGGAAGAAGAAGAAGAAGAAGAAGAAGACGATGAAGAAAAACATGAAGAAGATAATTAAATGAGCGGTAGAAGACTACGAAGAAAAGGAGGATGTGGAATGAAGAGAAGAAGAAGAAGAGTAAGAGGAGGAGGAGGAATGAGAATGAACGAGAGAACGAATGAACGTTGACCATTGCCTATCGCGGCAAAAGGAACATATTACACACAATTAAACATACTTAACATGAGTTGCGCTGCGTTAGCGATGCCGTTTGCCCATGCCGTCAGAGCGTTGCTTGTGCCGTACTCTTCAGTCAGTACGGGAAGCAGCACACCGAATGCCTTCAGCTGAGCGACAGCAACGAAGTGTAGCATAAATCCCCCAAGGGCACACAGCCAGCCCCAGCCTCCGTCGGGTGGAGATTTGACGTTTGGCGTCAGGGGCTGTGAAGTTTTCCCATCCGGGTGTATATCATCTGCTGGCTCCTTTGTTGATCGGTTGATCGCTGGCTGTATTTCGGATGACATCGCTATTGATTACGTGTCTGCTGATGACCTCTGCAATTGACCTTCTCTGATGACATCGGCCGATGAATTCTATTGATATCTCTCTACTGATGACCTCTCTAGTGATTTCCTCTCGATGGATGTGCTCGTTGTGTATGGAATCTTCACCGATGTCTTCCTCCATGCGTCCGGTATAATACTCGCAGGCTCACTATTTTGACCGAAATATAAAATCACATAACTCGTCCACGGCCGTTAGTATATGTAGCTATATGCTTCGCGCTTCTTGTGCTTTATATCAGATCTACTCGGCTCCAGGCACCTACTGCTGCATGGTAATCGATGCGTTGTCTGTTTCCCCGGGAGGCTGCGGTGATTTCGTGAACAGTACAAGTTCCGCGACCATACAAAAACACGGCCATATGTACACGCTTTAATTGCACACAACATCCTACGTTACCTAGCGCACGGTGCATGATATAAATAGGAGGAGGCACTGCCGCATGCCACGGTGAGTAGTTCCTGTACCGTGTTTCACGCGAACGCTGCGTAGAGTTCGGAAGCTGAACGCAAATTGAGGAGGAAAGCTGCGTGCGATGTTGAACCAACACAACATTTATGCTGTACAGCGCTGCGATCGATAGCTATGCGTTAGTTGATAACGGATTTTAGCAGCATAGCACGCAGTCGTGGTTTTCACACACAGTAATATACTATTCTTCCAGCAATAATATGGAAAGACCGCACATAGATAACACGAAGCAATAATCTATATGGTATGAACTTGTCATGTCCTTGAGTAAACATCGGGCGGAATTCCTTGTGAAACAAGTTACCAGAGAGCACCACTATAACAGTGTTTTACGTGACGTCATAGATCAGGTCATGTGTATTTGTTATGTGTCATGGTTGGCAGAAGCGAAGCGACATTTACAGATGAATGACCACATGTTCTAACGTGTTATAGAAAGCGCTGTTTATGTAGTGCACGTACACGTGCGTGCTGCGTGCGTGCGTGTGCACGTACACGTGCGTGCATGCGTGCGTGCGTGCGTGCGTATGTGCACTTCACGTACGTCGTGCGGGGCGTGGCGTGTGCACCGTACATCGTTCCGTTTACGATATCGGTGTGCAGGTACCCACGTGCGTGGCCAGTGGCCGTGTGCACGCTACACGTGGCGTGCATGCGTGGCGTTTGTGTGTGCGGTGTGCCGTAACGTGGCCGTGACATGCGTGTGTGTGTGCGTGAATTTGACGTGCGTGTGTAGGTACCGTGTGTCATGAGTGCGTTGGTCGCGTACGTGGTGTGTGTACTAGGTAACCGATGCCGTGGTGCATGCATCTGCACTGTAGAACGTGCGTGCGTGCGTGCGTGCGTGTGCGTACGAACCTGCGTGCATGCTGTAAATTCTATTTATACGTTAATGATTAGTCTGGGTGACAGGTAGTTGTTTTAGCCATATTCCGCCAAGACAGCGTCGCTCGACGCAGATGTGCGGGCTACACTTGATGTATTAGGAGAATGGCAAGGAGGGTGGTTAGGTTAGACAGTTTCGAGAGTCAGCTGTGAATTGGGGTAGGACGTGGTCTCTGAGAACGGGAATACATGTGCGGGCAGGGATGTAGGGGAGTTGTTGGGGTGGATATATAGAGAGAGAGATGTAAGAGGAGGGTGAGGGCGGAGATTCGGTGCTGCGGGTAGCGAGCTGAGCACACGTCGCGATAATGCCGCCAATGTGCGCTGTCTTTGTCTCTTATTGTGCGATGTGGCTTACAGTGTACAGCTAATAAAGTTTATTCTGGTTACTACAACAAGTTGTGTGTGTCATTATCCGATATCGGAGCCAAGCCAACGTTACATTTTGGGCCGTCGACAGTCCAAAAAACTGGGTATCCTTTTGCGGACACAACGCAAGTTACCTTCATTTCGATACGGGCCAGCAAGCCGAAAACACGGAAACTTGACGGAGAAGAAGGAGGAAGAGCTGGAAGAAAGAAGAGGAATTAATATAATACCAAACGATTCACGAGCACGGAAGCCACGAGAAGATAACTGGAGAAGGAAGAGGGAGAAGGCAAGATTCAACGTCAGCTGGATCGAGGCGCGAGAAAGTGGGAGAGAGAACGGTGGATCAAGAAGATGGTAGAGGAAAGAACAAGAATGACGGGGAGCCAGACTGGGCTAGCGACCGATGACGATGGCGACCGAAGGATCGGCTGAAATCGATGGAGGAGGCCGTTGCGGCGCCGCGTCGGGACAGTTGCTCAGCGAGAGAGGGGAAGGACGTGAAGGAAGAACGAATAGATTCCGAGCGAAGGAAGCCGAAGGCTGCACGTTACCGAAAGGAACAAGAACGCAAGAGAATGAACGAAGAAAATACTCTTGAAAATGGGTATGTGAATCAAATCTTTGTGTTCTGCATTCTTTCGATAATATTAAGATGAAACGCTTAGATTTAAAACGTTAGTATTTCGAAGGGTTTTTCCTGATATACACCATTGCAGCATGCACAATACGTTTTTCTTTTATCCTGATACCTGTTTTAGTTTCCAAAAGGTGCATGTTATGTTTCACTGTCGATCGGGTATATACTATCAGCGCCGAGCGGAATAAAAACTTTGAATAAAGCCGCGCACCGCCGACACAGCCATTAATTGTTCAGCCACAGCTTACCTGGACATTGTATGTATGTATGTATGTATGTAGGTTTCTCATGGCTTGTTTTCCATCGAAACGGCGCTATTTCTGTCATTGACTATATGCTTTTAAACCTTTTTTTCGTGTGTGCGACAAATCTTTGTATGTGAACTTACTGTTTAAGAAATTTAGTGATCGTTTCTTGAATTTGTGCTAACCAGTGACGGTACGTTCCACCATATATTGTATAGCCGCTGGCACAATAACTCTTCGCACATCAGGCAGGTATTCGATATAGGCCATAAAACATCATTCCATTCGACACATATGAAATCATTTTCGCGTCATCTTTGATTAGCTCTCGTACGCATGTGTACGACCCCCCCGCCCTGCCTTGTGGACAGCAGCTGACCCAAAGGTCATAATTGTCACGGCGTCCACTGTCCGGTGCTGTGTATACAGCCGCACAAATGCGCATCCAAACCGCTAATCTTCCTTCCAGTACCTAGACTAAGCAATAACTTTCGTGTCCATTGCCTAATCATACTACCTTATGGCAAAATAACTCTAGCTTCCTCCCCATTTCACTGACACTCAGCCCGCGTTGTCTTATAAAGGTATTTTGAAAATACCCTCGATGTTGTTGACAGTTCCCCATTCCAAGCAACCGTGCAGCGGCCGCGCCGCAGGCTTACAGCGGTACGGCGCAGCAAATAAATAAAATGCCCTGTCGACCGTACACGTTCACCATTCGACATGTTATGTTGTTTGACAACACAGTTTAGCGGTTGGCCGCCTGCATTCACCTGACTTTCGCACTCTTCTACATTCGTGGAACGCGCAGTCAACATGGTAGCAGCGAACTTACGACGTTTTCATTTTGCCATAAGGTAGTATGATATTATGCATGAACACGAAGTATTTGCTAGTCTAGTACTGAAGAAATTAGCGTTTGGAGTGCGCATTGTCGCGGCTTTAAGGCCCTGTTGTGCCTGGCTGTGTGCCCTGGGATATGAGGATATTTTTGCCATAATCAGGCTTCTGTATATAGGAAGCACACTGGCTTGAAACGTGGTTTCGGTAATGCGTGTTGGCTCACGCATTCGCCACGTACGTTACTAGCATAAAAAAACGCAAGAGTGATATTAATTGCAGCGATTATCAGAATGTTCACTGTCAAATGTGTTGGGTTTCTGACCTTATATTTTGGCTCGAACTTTATCGTTACTTGTTTTCTACGCTTCATATGTGCTTTCTTATTGTATTTTGATTATTGTTATGTGTATTGATTGTGCGGTGGTTTAATCAGGAAGAAAGACGTTTCTCATGTTGGGTTGAGTTAGGAAGATATCAGGTAGTATTTTTTGAATTGGTTAGGTTCAGGTTAAAGTATGAAGCAGCGAGGACGCTTGGAAGCGATGACTACTAGTCAATCGTTTTGGCGGAAAGGGAAGATGATGTAACGTCTATTTTATACGTTTACATCAAGAGTAGATAATTAACAGCATGTGTTAACATAATGTGTATTGTGTAATGTGGTATGTGTAATGTGATAACATAATGTGTTATTATCTATCTTGGTATCATGAATTAGTCAGTGGAGCTAGACGGGTAGGTTGTTTTAGCATATTCCAGCTAGACAGCGTCGCTCGATCAGATGTGCGGCTACATTTGATGGATTAGAGGGAGAATGGCAGGACGGTTAGGTTTGGTTAGACAGTTTCGAGAGTCAGTGTGAAATTGGGGTAGGACGTAGTCTCTGAGAACGGGTACATGTGCGGGCAGGATGTAGGGAGTTTTGGGGGATATATAGAGAGAGAGATGTAAGAAGGAGGGGAGAGCGAAAATTCGGTGGCTGGGAGCGAGCTGAGCACACGCGCGTATGCGCGTGTGCGCGTTCTTTGTCTCTTTTGGATGGCGATGTGGCTACAGTGTACAAGCTAATAAAGTTTATTCTGGTTACTACAACAAGTTTGACTTTATATCTTCATCATTTCGACATTGAAACGCATCTCCGGCTGGGCAACTACAACAGCTCGCACAGCCTATTGCCGTATGCTAGTCGCACTCAGTAATGGAGTGCCTGGCCAGAGAAGCCTCGATCTCTGGAAACACGCTCTACTGTCTACACATTTTGAAATGTTCTTGTGCAAGTCTCTCACGTGCACCTGGAGTTCTTCGCGCACTCCCTGGACGTTTTATTCTCACGGACTGTCCAGTATAGGATGTAGAAGTAGAAGTAGAAGTGCGTGCGTGCGTGGTGCGTGCGTGCGTGTGCACGTAGACGTGCGTGCGTGTGCACATACACGTGCGTGCATGAGTGTGTGCGTGCGTGCGTGCGTAGTGCAATATCACGCATCTGCTTGCTGCCAACCGTTAAACTGCGCATGTGCGCATATGACGTCAGTGTTTATCAACATGAAACACTTCTATAGCGCTATATATAATCGTGCCTGGATAACTTCTAAGTCGGCACCACTGATCTCCATATATTAACAGTTAGAATATAGAGATCAGTGGTTGGCACGCAGAAGGCAGAAAGGTTCGATATGATATGACTACTAGGCACTTTATTTTAATTTAATTTTTTTTTTTTTAGGGTTAGGGTTAGGGTTAGGGTTAGGGTTAGGGTTAGGGTTAGGGTTAGGTTTTTTTTTTTAAGTGCCTAGTAGTCATATTCTAAGTGCCTAATAGTCATATCATATCGCACCTATCTGCCGGGTGCGGTTGGCACTCGGTGACGCTCGCGCAACAAGAGGAGACACGGTGTACGCCTCTGATCTACCGTTCTCATATGTATCCTAGTGTATCCAACCTCCCACACTGAAGAGTAATAGTTCAGTCTTATAGTGGAACCAGATCCAGTCGGACACACTTAGTCACTTAGCGTCTTGATGGCGGGCAGTCAAGTTACGTGGTAGGAAGCCAAAACCAAGGGCCCGTTGTCAGAAACAAAATTAGTCTTAACATTAGTCTTAACATTAACTTCCACTCATAAACCGTTGACAGAAACATCGTAATGTTACGAGAACGAAAAATCCTCGAAAATATTCTCTTAACATTACGAGAGCCCAGACCCTCTCGTAACTTTAATATTAAGATGAAAATAACACATTTACACTACGAATTACAATTATAGTAATATTATATTTTATAATAATGAGTAAAGTGTGTGTTTTTCTTTAAAAACACGTCAAAAACATTAATTATCTACCGATCATAAAACAAAACAAAACATTTACAAATGGCGTATGGCATTTGTTCTCTTGTCTTAATGTTGTTTGCCACTGGCCACGACTCTCGCGTATCGTGTTACAGTGTGAGAATTTGTCTTGTTGTGCAGAATAAATTCATGACCGCGTCGTTTTTCATGTGGATATTTATCGGCCAGACAAAACCGAAAAACAGAAAAACCGAACAAAACCGACAAAACCGAAAAAAGAAGAAATCTTATCAAACAGAGGAACCCTACGTAGTCGAGCGGACACGCCGTATCACGTGATGGTGTGAACAGCTGCGGATTGGACGTAAGATACTAACACATGGAAATTAAAATATTAAAATGAATAAATAGAAATAAATAAAACAAATTGTTCAATAGATATATGTAAAACAAAAATATCCAGAGAGAAAGGGAGAGAGAAGGAGAGCAGGAGGAAGCGGAAGAGGAAGTAGAAGGCGAGAAGAAGTTCTGGTGAACAATAAAAAATATATGATATCGCATGTGCGACACTAGCGCCGACTAACGGCATTGAGATGTATTATACAGCGTTTCTATCTCGTATTCTCTCGGGGAATTGAGATGTTGCGGAGCCGGGGCGTCTTAAAAATCAATAAAGCAAGGTATTGGGATACAGATTTATCACATAGTTTATTATGAGAGTCTGTGTTCTCCATTTTAAATGCATAATGTCAGTAAAGGGTGATTGCCACAGATATTAAGCATGCGCGCAGAGATACCCGACGCTAAAGGTACGCGACCCTGCAAGGACGCCAGACACACTGAGCAGTTGTATTTAGTAAATTGAGGCATTAGCATTGCTATTCTTCATAGCGAGTCAGTCGATCATATGTGCTCTCTAGTTTAAATAAATAATTTAATCAAAAGACTCGTTTCATTCGGACTCACACACTATTTTGCATGCACCGACCAACGGCTTAGAAATACTTACACGAATCTCGCACGCAGCCGCCTCGCAGCCCAGCCGACACACCAAGGTTAATCCCATATCCATACAATCTTGATACAATCTTTACTTGCTTTGCGGAGAGATGAGCAAATACCGATGCAGCTTGTCTTACCGGGTGTAATAAACATCGTTAACACAACGCTGTGTTTATACGAATGGTAATGGATACAATGAGGGTTACGGACAGGTACTGCTGTAAAGGGCATTACAACATAACTGCTCACCAAATCCAATCAAACACACATCTATTTAATAAAAGAGATGTTTCTCTACGCTCAGCGTGAACATTTCTCAGGATAGGGTTGAAGCAGCAAAGGATTGTAAACAACTAAACACGTGATGTATTCCGGAGCGCATCCATGAGTTAGGGGGGAAAGGGTCAAGTACGTGAACGTAGTGTGAAGAGGGCTATTATAAGGATGCAATAGTTTTCTGTCACAAGAAATACTGTCTGTCTCTACTTCTCTTACTTTTTTATTTTGAAATATAATAATTTAATTGTGCATTTCAAAAGATTATTGCAACTCATCGAAGGAGCTTTTATGGTGGATAATAAGTTGAATATAGGGTGCGAGTAATCGCTTAAATTAACGATTTTCAACTAAGGGTGATTGTAAACATGATATCTATGGGCAATTGTTACATGTGGATTATTTTGTTTGCAGCAAATATCAAGATGCCGTTGGTTTTTATCTTCTGTGAGAATGAGTAGGCATTGTCATTTGGCCACATCTCATGGACTACGTTCTAGGAGAGCTCTTATAGCAACGGGAACATCTTATTCCTGGTACTATAACGATTCCCCGTCTATTGCAGCAGGTTTTTTTTTGAGGCTCTGAGAAGAGATCCCCGTCAGACTGTATGAACAGCTAGCTGGGTGTTCTAAGGAATAAGGCCACGATGATTGCGCGAGCTTTCACCGACGAGGGCGACACCTATAGATTTTCCTGCGGTGTAGCATTACTTATTACTTATATTAGGATTAGTTATATCTACTTGTCTTTCAAACTTTGTTGTGCACGGTTAGAAATATCTAGAATAAATAATAACATTAAATTATGGATCTAGATGCGTATGGCATGTGCAGAGAGATAAGCAAACACAGCAATCCTCGTCGACAGATGGGAATTTCCGAAAATGCTCAATATTAAGGGTGTCATCCGTTATTTGGATATTAAATACGTCAAATATTGACCAAGTACAAGTAAACCGTACTTCGTGCTCACCTAGTAAATGCGCAATATATTGATCGTCGAGTTTACAGATCGATCTAGGTTATCGTTTGGTAAGATTGCAGACGGCTGAACCAATGGTAACGAATATAAG